GTGGTGCTCCACAGCGGCGCGCCCTCCCCCGGCGTCCTGGCCGCCGTGCTCGTCACCACCTGCGGCGCCGCGCTGGCAGGTGAGCGACCCCCGGCGTCCCGGCCCGCACTGCCCTGCCTGATCTCCAGGACCCCGGCCCTGCACTGCACTGCCTGCTCCCGGACCCAGCCCCGCACTGCCCCTCCAGATCCCCGGGACGCCAGCCCTGCATTGCCCTGTCCGATCCCAGATCCCAGCTCCGCACTGCCCCTCCAGCTCTCCCGGATCCCAGCCCCGCACTGCCTTGCCTAATCTCCAAGATCCCAGCCCCGCACTGCCTTGCCTGCTCCCGGATCCCAGCCCCCACACTGCCCCGTCCTGCTGCACTCCCAGATCTGAGCCCCGCGGGATCCCAGCCCTGCTTTGTGCTCGCTCCCGGCCCCGGATCGCAGCCCCCAGCGCTCCGCCGCCTCCCAGGATCCCAGCTCTGCCCGGCCCCAGCCGGGCTCTGTGCCCTGCCTCTCCCCGGGATCCCCCCGCGCCCCGACCTCCAGCCCCGCTCCCGCTCCACTGCCCCGTCCCGTCCCCCCGGGACCCTCCTGCTCGCCCAGCACAGAGATCGCCCTCCCAGCCCATCGCCTCCGGCCCCGCTCCCCGGGAGCTGCGTCCCTTGGTTCGGGCAGGAGCCTCGGGACCAGAAGGGGAAAAGCACGTGCTCCGTTGTGCACTGGGACCAAACCCCGGGCTTAACCCAGAAGGAGCGCACGGGGAACCGAAAAGCTGTTCCCGGCTGGGGCTGAGATGGGGGACTCGGAGGCAGAGGCAGCAGCAGAGGTGGAGCTCCTCGGGATGTTGCCTGTCACCCTCCTTTCTTGTGTGTCTGTGTGTGTTTGAGAGAGAGCACGCCCCCCCTCTCCCCTCCTTGCCCAGGTTGGTTTAGGAGAATAAGAAGTTAAAGGGGTGGCTTTGAAATGAGGTAGACAGGTAGATCTTGTCTGTGATCAAAACCACTCCTGTGCCATCTCCAGAGAAACGTGGATGTGTGGTGTGTGATGCTGCAGACCTGTCTGTGGCACCACACGCTTTACATGCAGGCATTCCCTGTGCTGCTACTTTGCTGCGGGGGTAGAAGGGGAGGTTGACCCCAGGAAATCCTGGGGTCAAAAAGACCTCACTGAAAAAAAGCAGGGTCATGCACATGGCGGCAGTGCATGCTGCTCAAAACCAGAGCCTTGCTGGCCGGAGCCACACACTAGCTGCTGGCCAGGCTTCCTGCCATGGGTGCAGCCCTGGGACACCCCCAGGACCCCAGGTAAGGTTGCTGGGGCCAGCACAGTTGCTGGCCCCAGCCTCCTCTACCCCTCTCAGGGTAACCTGCCGCATGTCAAAGTGCATGTGCACGGGCGCTCCCCAGGGACAAGTAACAGCGGCGTACAGTGTGTTGCTGCTACTTGTTCCTGGGGAGCCAAACATCCATGCTTATTTGGATGCACCTCCGGTGTCTTTTTCCAGGAGAGCAGAACTTGGGAGGCCAGTCACAAGTCATAGGACTGAGTGACACTCTTTTAAATGGTTGGTGCCTTCTTTTGCTCTTGTAATGTCATAACTAATGCTTCTGTCTCACTCACATCCACCCGCCGACTTGTAAATGCATCTTCCTTTGTCTTTCCCTCTCTCCTGGCAGGAGCGGGTGACCTGAGTGGTGATCTCATGGGGTATGTGACAGGAGTGCTGGCTGTGGTGGTACATGCTGCCTATTTGGTGCTCATCCAAAAGACCAGTGCAGATAGTGACTATGGACCCCTGACAGCCCAGTATGTCATTGCTGTTTCAGCCACTCCTTTGCTCATCATCTGCTCCTTTGCCAGTATGGATGCCATCAACGTCTGGTCATTCCCTGGCTGGAAGGACCCGGCCATGGCATGCATCTTTATCGCTTGTGTCTTGATTGGCTGTGCCATGAACTTTACCACCCTTCACTGCACCTACATTAACTCGGCTGTGACCACAAGCTTCGTCGGGGTGGTAAAGAGCATAGCAACCATCACAGTGGGCATGGTGGCCTTCGATGATGTGGAGCCCACAAAGCTGTTTATAGCAGGTGTTGTGGTCAACACCTTGGGCTCTGTCATTTACTGTGTGGTCAAGTACATTGAAACCAGAAAGCAGAGCAATTATGAGGACCTGGAAAAAGAAGCAAGAGAGGAAGAAGAGAAAGGACATACTGGAGGTCAACCACCATTTGCAATGGAGGAGATCTCCCAGGAGAAGGGGACAGAGGAGACAGCAGTAGAGGAACAAGCAGAAAGGGACAGTGAGAGTATAGAGGAGCAACAGGACAACACAGTGGAGCCAGCAAAGGTGCCCAGTGTTCAAGGAGAAGTAAACAGCACTGAAGGAGTTAACAAGAGCTCACTGAAGGATGCCTATCTTGGAGTATGGAGGTTAGTTAGGGGGGGTAATTATATAAAGAAAGATTATTTGATAGAAAACGAGGAGTTACCAAGTCCCTGAAAAGCAGGTTTTAAAAAGGGAATGTCTTAAGGCTTGAGGAAATATTTATTTATTTTTTGCATAGAGAAGGAAGGCAGGATGCACGTTTTTCACATCAGCACTGACGAATCCAACTTGTTTAGGATTGTTTTACCTCACCATCCACAAAGGATGTGTTAATCTGCTTACACTATAAAATCACTCCCATGACTGAAACAGTTAAACTGATGTAGAAATCTGTGCATTGGACTTACATTGGTGTAATTCCATTGCCTTGAGTAGAGTTACTCCTGACAGCTATGTGAGATCAGAATCAGACCTGGAGGGTGAGAAGCTCTGATCAGAATGATAAAGGCCTTATTCTGGTAGGTTATTACATTGAGGGCTCTGCAGGTTGTTTTTATTTTATTTTTATTGATGGATAATTTATTTGCCAATAATGTAATTGCCATTCACCTGAAACTATATGTGAATTCAGGTTAAATTCAGTAACTGTTTTGAGCAGACAAAACAGGTTACAAATGTTAATATTAAGCATTTTGATTCTGGGGTTAGATTCTCCAAATTGGTGAGAAGATGGGTGCGGGTGCTGCTCTCTCCTTCTCCTCTCTATCCGTCCCTTTATGACGCTCATTTAGGTTGAAATCTCCTTTCCTACTGATTCAGAGCAGGGGTTTAAACAAGATATCTGTCTCTCAGAACAGCAGTCTACCCAACAAGCTATGGTGTATTCTGGAGCAGACGTGTCTCAGTCTGTCCTGTGCTTTATATAGCGTGAAACAGCTTCAACAGGAGAGCTTAAGAGAGAAAAGCTCTTGTCACCCTGCAGTGAGGATATTTTCTAGGAAGTGGAAGACCCTGAGTCAGATTCTTGCTCTGAGTTAAGCAGGGGAGGGATTTAAACCTGGGTCTCCCTTATTCATGGTGAATGTCCAAATCACAGGGTTACAAGGTATGAGGGAGGGTATCACTAGAACAACACACTGAAATGAATTATTTTGGTTCACTGAAAAATGTTGGTTTTAGATGAGTCCAAACCAATTTTTGGTTGAGCGGCTGAACTGAAAAATCAATTATTCCTACAGCTTTAACTACATACCAGCCAGCAATGCCTATTACAATCATATGGTCACTGAATTAGGCCCACGGTGCACTGAAACCACTGAGGCTTCTCTCAGAAGCGAAATTTTTCCTTGGCATTAAATGCTTGCAGGATTGGGTCCTAAAGCAGTTAGTTTGTTTTAGATTTATGCCAGTTTACAGGCATATACACATACAATGTCATTTTAATGGAGATTTCAGAAACTGACAAGTCATTTTAAGTGGGTTTTGAAAGAGATGGTGGTCAGCACCACAGATGTACTATGACAGAGTTTATAATCTGGGCTTTTTGAGGACGTGGCACATAGGTCTGTCTGCAGCACTTAACATATAACTGCACTGAAGTAACAAGAGCCATTTACTGTGATCTGCAATATCATGTTTACTTTCTGTTCAGCCTCCTCATTGTATTTTCAAATAATTGCCCTATTTATTCTTTTTAGAATAATTTAACTTCTTTTGTTTGTTGGTTGGTTTTTTAATGCATCCTTGCATAAGGACGTTGATTTATATGACCTGGAGTTCACGTACTATTAAAATAATTTTATGTTTTGCTACTGAACACCACATTCATTTCTAATCAATTTGCACTGCGTTCAATATTCTGTGTCTACTGGTAAGGTAGAATTATGTACTAACCAAATTGCAGCCTTAGAGATCCTGGCATACAACACTATTACCTGTTTGGCATATTTAAAAACATGCTGTAAAAAGCTATACTCTTACATTCATATTACAAGACTTTTTACACATGCCAAGTGGAAATGTGATGGTTTGCTGCTTATTGTTGAAGTATCAGTGGAAACATATGGAAAATCTAACAGTCTTTAACTGTTTAAAGCTGCTGTTACAATTTTGTACATTTGCATGTACAGTAAAAATGTGGTTATCCTGTATCTTGTTTATATTTAAACATTAGTGTTTAATACCCCCTTCATTAAAATGGGGACTTGGCTAATGCAACCCTGTTTTCCAGTGGAGACTGTTGCAAAATAAAATAAAAATATTGCCTCGTGCTGAGGTATTTTTAATTGCATAAATCAAAGACTTCAATTAATCTGGAGAATGAGATGTGGAAATAAAATGCACTGCTTTACAGAAGTCTCTTGCTTTTCTTATTGATTCTGTTCTAGGGTACTCATTTTTATTTTGCTTTACTAATGCTTGTGCCTGTTTAATTTCTATGCACCTATGCCATGTTACACCATAACTACCAAACATTATGAACCCAGGGAATAGGCATGTCCAAAAAACACAAGGATTCCCAACTGGCTGTGAAGCGCCAAGTATCTTATGATTTCCCTGACCAAAAAATCTAGGATGTTTCAGTAGCACAAGTGTTGGTCTGCTCTCAGTTTAGAATAATAATACTAACAAAGATGACAGCTCTTAATATTATTATTTAAAGCTAATGGATAAATGCTAACTATTTCTTTCTCATGATAACCCTGAGAGGTGGGTATCATTCAATCCTCTAGCTTTGAACCAAAGTAACTAATTAGCTAGCAGGTTAAAGCTGTAGTGATGTGAATGGCGCAGTATATTCAATCTGTTGGTTATTGTAGGATGTTGATTGCCTGTCTGTTTAGCTTAAATGTCCAAAGATATGTGCATTCAGGAAGCTGAAGAGAAAAGAGACTGTCCTTGTGCCGCAGTAATAAATGGATAAAGCGTATGATGACTTCTTTAAAAAAAAACATTAATTTGAAAGTCAATGTGCCACAGAACAACACCTGGTGTGCCACTACAAAGCAGAGAAATAACAGAAACCAGTCAAACAAAGCCAGACTTATAGCTTTATATAATTCATTTCTAAAAGAAACAAAAATGAAGTCAGCTACCTGTGGAGACAATGAAATTTTGGTTTTCTTTAGAAATAAGTTTAAAAAACCAGACTTTTGAAAACTTGATTCTAGCTTGTTGCTATAAACTGCTTTCCTCTCTCCTGCAGAATAAAGAGATGGTAACAAAAGATAATTTATTTAAAAAATAGGTTAACTTTTTTATAAACTCCTATATAAGTTCATGGCTTGTTTACTGTTATAACTTAATAGCCACCGTTAACCAAATATTTAATTACATCTGTTTGCTGCAGCCAAAGATTTAAGCATCTGGAAAAGTGAAGATTTTTTAGCTCTGATCTTTAAATTAACTTATGAACATCCTACAGCTGTGAGTGGTAAAGGTTTAACACCAAAGATCTCAGCCTTCTCATACTCTTTGCCCCTATTGTATATAATTCCCCAGATTGTTTTGATGTTTCTTCTCTGGCTTTTAACCTGAAGCTTCTACAAGCACAGAACAGGCAATCAACTCTGCCCATCAATTAGCTGCTAGGTTCATGCTTCAATAGTTCCCTGGAGGTCATTGGAAAGCTGTTCACTCAGAGCATGTTCATTTCTGTAATTTATGAGCAGGCCATTGTCTTTCTCTTTCTCTCTCTCTCTTTCCATGTCCACCTCTATTATTCACTCTGGAGCAACTCCAGTTTTCTGTGCCTAGCCTTAGTATCTCAGTGCTGGAGAGACCCAAGATGAAAAATCCTCTCCTCAAGGTAATGGAATGGCAAAGAACTCACCATGAACTAATTCCCTCCTTCTTCTGTGGTGGAGGGAAGGACCAGAGCAAGGGTGCTCAACCTCTGGCCCTCGGGCCATATCCAACCTGCGGCTCCATGCCATTTGGCTTATGGGACTCCCATAGGTCCAGAAGTTTGGCAGTGGGGGAGTAGTGGCATTGCTCTCCTGCTGCCAAGTCTCTGGACCCATGGGGAACCCTGAGCTCTGAACACTGACTCTGCATGCATCTGACCCAAGCATGCGGAGCTGGCAACACTGGACCAGAGGAAATTTGTGACTGCAGTGCTCTCTGCCCATACCTGTGTTCTTGGCTAAACACAGATTCCCTGTAGAGCAGTGCTACCTGCGAAGTGTATGCGAGGAGAGATCTGGCTTCACCTCTACCAAGCAGCTGAAGCTCCCTGGTTTTACTGCAGTGAGTACCCCATATTTGTAGAGATAAGGGTAGAATATGGTGTTGATGTAACATAGGTAAAATAAACTCTGAAAG